GCTGACTCTGTAAACCGCCTAGAGAGGGCTGTAAAGCATTATGAAGTGGTATATAAGTCTAAGTGCTATTGCTATTTAACATTATTTGAACTAACAAAACAGATAGAAGCAAGGCTTTGCTAATCTTTTTAAGCCTTATAAAAGGAATGAAGGCCAGCAAACTTCCCTCCTTTTTTTTACTCCAGAGTTGGCCTCTAATTGCCCTTCACAACCAAAGGAAGTCAATTAATCTTGATAACTGTGACCTAATATTCCCTGGTTTCATGGTCAGTTTAGTCAAGTATACATTTCAGTGGAGTTGAGGATCATAGACCATGAACAGCTCTGGAGACTAGTGGTCAGCAGTTCCTAACACTAATTTATGGAAGCATCTTAACAGCCTGCCATCATTTTTAATGAAATGAACTATGTGCAGTGGCTGGGACAGCCTGGGGAAAAAAATAGCCTTTGTTTTTCATGTTTTTCATGTCTTAGAAGCAGTTTGAGAAAGACACTAGCAATAGCTGCCCTGATCTACAAATATATTATTCTACCTCTGGTCAAATAGTTTTTGCAGGTGTTGAAACATAATAAAACCAAGAAAAAAAACTGTCCAGACAGTGCTTATATCACATACACTGCTTCCATATAACTTTCACTGTTCTGGAAAAAAAAATGCCACACAGTCTGTTTCTGGTCTTGTTTTCACCCTTAATACTTGGTTTGGCACAATATTTACAATAACTGGAGTCTGGCATTGGAAGATGTAGCCGATTTACCCACCCCCACATGACAGACACAAAAGGACCCTTGAAATGAAAGTAATGTACATTTCTAATAAAGGAGAATATTTGTAGCTCAGGATTGACATGAGAGATCCTTGATACTCTCTAGGCTTGCTTGTTTTCTTGCAAAAGTTTCATTATCCAAACTAGGTAACATTATCAATGCTAGTCTAGAATACATCCCAAAGACATGCTGGGAAAAGAAAAACCAAACTGCAAATCAAACTAGACCAGCACTGATGATGTTACCTAGTTTGGGTAATGAAACGTCTGCAAGGAAACAAGCAAGCTCAGAGAGCACCAAGGACCCCTAATGTACATTTCATTAACCTGCTACAGCGTAACCCCTGGAAATGAGAATTGTAGGCCAAAAAGTCTCCATTCCAAATCACATTAGCCATAATGTACTGGAATCTAGTCAGTCTGATTTCCTCATCTGCATCATGGGGGTGGCACTGGATAAGGGTAGAAACCTATATATTAAATGTGAACTTAGGAATTAAGTTCTGGTGGGTAAGTAACCAACATGGTTATAGGGAGGTATTTGCGTTCTGGAAGGAACCCCAAGCTTTGCAATAGTATGGGGAAAACTGTAGAAAAAGAAATCTAAACAACAAACCTAAACAGCCCAATAAGAATGAGAATGCTCAGAAACAAGAGAGAGTGGAATATCTGTTTGGGAGAGGATGTGGCATGGAAACCTGGAGAACAAAAGGGAGAATGGGGTGAATACTGAACTGAACGTTGGTTGGATTGATCAGGAGCATTAAATGCTGTACCATTTTCATTGCATGCCACACTTAAATTATTAATCTACCTATATAAGATTATTATTATGATTATAAATGCACTATCTTCCTTTCAACCTATTGTTCATGTCCAAATATTTTTCTTCCTCAATTATGAATAACTCAATATATGAATGAACTCCACCTGTTGCATTTACTTTTTGTTCTGATAATGCCCCATTTATCTATATATTGCAAATATATGTTGGATGCACACAATATACTTTAACAGCCTAATATGAGAAAGAAAGGGGGAAAAACATACCAGGAATGCGCACAGCATGTAAAAGCTTACAAAGTAGAAATAAGCAAAGCCTGAACCACAGGTATATTCTTCTCCAGGAGCAAAATCAGACTCAGGGTCACATAATTTGCCATAGCTGGCACCTAATAAGACCTCCTGCCAGGCTTCACCTGTGGCACACCTAGAGAAAAGAGGAAATTAAGGCATGGCATAATATTATATGTGAACCTAACCCAGAAGGATTATAAAAATAATTCACAGATGTAATTAACCTTCTTTAAAAGTAGTATCAATCAGGATTTTTTAGATTAAGAATAATTTTTTAGATTATTTTTTTCTAGATTAAGTTGCAGGAATTATAATCACATTCATACATACTACCCTTTCCAATAGCAGTTCTCATTTACTTATTCATGGTCAAATGTTCTGGAAGAAATTGAAAAAAACAACCCTCAAGGATAGTTGGGATAATTGTATCTATCTATCTATCTATCTATCTATCTATCTATCTATCTATCTATCTATCTATCTATCTATCTATCTATCTATCTATCTATCTATCTATCTATCTATCTATCTATCTATCTATCATTTAGCTATTTCCTGCCTTTATTATTTTTATAGATAACGCAAGGTGGCAAACAAACACAATATGCCTTCCTCCTTCTATTTTCCCCACAATTACAACTCTGTGGCATTGGGCTAAGAGATGGTGACTGGCCCAAAGTCACATAGCTGGCTTTCATACCTAAGGCAGAATTAGTACTCTCCTGGTTCTAGCCTAGTGTTTTAGTTACAATTTTAGTTGAGTTTACTCCCCATTCCTCCCAAAATATTGGGAACAGTTGTTATTTAAACCATTACATTATTTTTTTCCACCAATTAGCAGATTCACTACCACAAAACACTAGGAAACCAAAGTATACATTTGGCTGGTTCAGTGGCATTGAAAAGGGTAGGAAATAGCACCACTGAAAATTAATCCCTTAAACAGGAATTGTTTTATTCAAACATCGTCTCCATTGTATTTAAATTATCTCGGTAATTCTTAGCCAACTAACCTAAAGCCTCCCAAAGTACATTTAAAAAATTGGCCCATTTGTTCCAGTGATTTCATTATACCGGTATGACCAGCTACGCCCCCTACAGCACCAGAAAAAGTGAAAACATACCGGTAATTTAAAAGTGTAGCTAACCTATGCCTGCTCTGTTTGAACAGCAACCACACATTCATGCTAACGTTAACATCAACCTTGATATCTATAGAAAATGTACACAGGGCCACGTTTTTGAAGATGATACTTTGGGGATCTTAAAGGGTCTTTTGTCAAGAGAGGAGATGCCACCAATAAGAAGGGAGGAAAGGCCATTCAAAATAATGTGGGCCCACAGCTATAAACCAAGTAAGCTTAAATGATACAGACCTGAATAGCATCAACACTGCTTGTGGGAAAGTCTGAAAGTTGTTGTTCCGGTTTATTTGAGTTCCATCTACCAGTGCAATTTTCCCAAACATCTATAAATGAACATGCTGTTGTCAGAGGCTTATCTGCAAAACCTTGCAGCTTGTGACCATTCCCTGATGCTTTGCTCATACTGAATTCTACTTGAGCTATTTAATTTAGGTGTAGGGCTTCTTTTGACATCTTCCTTACTTAAACATCTGGGTCCACCTTTTCCAACTTGAACAATTTTTTTTTTTTTTGTAGTAAGGGGAAAAGAGAAAGAAAAAGCAATAAAAACACGGGAGTGCCCTGTGAGAGGTTCCATTTGAATGAATGAATGAACCTTTATTATCAAAGTATAACATGTATACAATGAAATTGGCTGAGCCTCCCTCCGTGCCCCCCCAACTCACAGTGACTACAAACCCACCAACTTATTACACCCTGTGAGCTAATTGCACAGCACACCGGCCTCACGAGTCTATCATGCATAAAATTATGTCCCGTTCAAGAGCCTGACAGCCCATGGGTAGAAGCTGTTCTTCAGCCTGTTGGTACGGCTGGCTATATTTCTATATCTCCTACCCGATGGTAGGAGAGTAAAGAGGTACCAACCAGGGTGTGAGTCATCCCTGAGAATTTTCCTCACTCTACCAAGACAACGAGCCCTGGCGATGTCATCCAGTGGTGTCAGGGAACAGCTCACGATGTTTTGTGCCGTGCTCACTACCCTCTATAGTACCTTCCTGTCCGCGGCTGTCAAGCCAGCATACCAAACCACGATACAGTGTGTGAGAACGCTTTCAACAGTAGACCGGTAGAAGAAGGTCATGAGTCATTGCTCTACCCTGTTCTTCCACAAGACCCTGAGGAAGTAGAGTCTCTATTGGGCGTTTTTATGGTAAAAGCCATGCCTAGAAGCATCCCCTTTGAATTTCTCAGGGAAGTAAAATTGTGTTTGCAATCCTCCATTAAGAAACAGCAAGTGCACAGAATACTATTTAATATGGAGCAAGTGGTATGTCTGGCTAGAAAGTAGAAATAAGAGGGAATAATTGTGGAAAAGTTAATATATAATATAATATATGTATATAATGTATATAATAATATATATGTATATAATAATGTATGAAGGAAGAAAAATGTAAACAAGAAATAATGGGGCAATAAGGATAAATACTTTAAAA